GCAGTTCCAGACTTAAACCCACAATCCGACCTCTCTCTAACTCTCATTACTCATCAGGTTCTATCTCCTAATTGTGCTAATGACTGATATTAAGATTTCTTTGAAAACTCAAGGTAAGATTATGATGAGGCTGAAACAGGGGAAAATCAAAATGTAACATTTGAAACCAACCACCTATACCACGTAGTGCCTTAAGAAAGAGCTGCTTAAAGGGATGACTGGAAGATACACTAACAACTAAGTCCATCAAGGTAACTAGAAAAGGCTGTACCTCAATACATCTAAAGATGACCTGTTACATATAGATAAAGCTAACTTGAGTGTAAGGAACAGTATTGTAATGAGTCTGAAGAAAGAACATTATAAATGATGACAAATAATCTTCATGAAAGATAGAAAAGAGTAAGAATTTGGCTAGTTAGTTGTCTTCTGCACTGTTCAAAGGAAAAAGTGATCTAGCCAATAAATACAAGCATTGCAGTCTGCTTAATATGAATATCCTTGAGCAGCATCAGTAATCCATGTTATCTATGTATCTAGCTTAAATCTCTCTCTTGAGCTTTAAATATATTTTGCAAACTGCCTACTGGATATTTCTGTTGAATGTCCCATAAATATCTCAAAATTAACAAGTACAAAATTAAATTCATTATCCTACCTAGCAAATCTGCTCCTCCCTCTGCTCTCCTCTCTCTTGACAAATTGCGTACAAGCCCCAAATCTGGGACTAACCCTTGATTCTTCCCTCCCACACCACTGATGTCCAATCAATCACCAGGTTAATTCGACTCTTACCCTGTCTATCACTTAAATTTCCTCCTCTGCTACATGTGTGTACATTTCATCACAATCATTTGCCTTCACGCCACAATATCCACTGGACTGGTTCACCATTTCTATTCTTGCTCCCCACCCTCCAATCCATTCTCCACACCCCATACCTAGCCAGAGTGAACTTTCAGATGTCACATTCTGCTTAAAACCTTTCTAGAACTTTCCACTGTCCTCAGAATAAAGTCCAAACTTTTTTACATGGTTTATGGGGTTTTCTGTGACCTGGTACCTGCTTATTGCTCTCCAGTGTCATGTCTTACCATACTCCCTGCCTGCCACCCCTACCCCTATCCATCAAACTCTAACTAACTTTATTTAGTTCCCTGTACCTACTATGCTCTCATCAAACCGTTGTTAGGCCTTACTTGTCTATCAGCTCAACCTGACTGACTATAAACTCTGTGAATTCAGGGACTACTTCAGTCTTCACTACATTAGTTCCATTTAGTAGACTCTTAACTAATGTTTATGAATAAATATTTGTTAATGCTAAGACATGCATCTTCCCCCATGTTAACATCTCTGAACTTAACACAGACCTTATCATCAATGGCATGTTAATGTTAAGTCTACAGTACTTTCCTAGAGGTATATAAATTTTGTCTTATAACTGGTGGCTTCTTGGATTCAGTGAAGTACGGTACTCACCATTAAGATCAGTTACCTTCCTTTGCTGTAATTCCCTGTCCCTGACAATTTTCTGATTACAAGTTAGCTTCTAATACAGATTTTTCTTTAGGCAGAGAATATGCCAACCAAAGAAACGAGTACTGAACCACTTGCCATTCAGCCTTTTCAGTGTGAGTTAATAAATTAGCCATTTTATTTACATATCATTAAGGCTATTTAACATATATCACTCCCTCTGACCCCGATCTGCTTGAGCACATCAACAAATCCTGGAAGCTGAGAACCAGACTCTGGGACGGCGCCTTTTTGCCTCATGATGTCCTGCGTATCCCTCTGTTTTATTATTTGCCACACTGAATTTATATCAGAATCACTAAATGTGTGGTTCTTGAATCAGATTGTCTTGGACAAGTTATTTAATCTCTGAGCCTCAGTTTCCTCATCTGAAAAAATGGAAGATAATAATAATAGGTTATTGTGATAAGTTGAAAATACAAGGAAAGTGCTTAGAGCAGTATCTGACACATAGTGGATATTCAATGCATTTTAGTGTTGCCCTCATTTTTACTATTACTACCATCACTATGATTAGACCATAAGCTCCTTGAGGGCAAAAAGCAGGTCTTAATTCATCTTTGTGTCCCTACGGACTTATTAGCACTTTGCCTGGTAGAGGATTATTCTGTGTTGAACTCACCCCATAACCACACCATCCTAGGAAACCCTGCCTGAAGGCTTGTTAGCTTCCCTAGAAAAAATGTGCCTCACTTCTCTTTAACTGCAAAGAAACAGCCCAATCAATGTCAGTTCTTGCAGTTGCCTCAGTCCCCACCAAAACATACACCAACTGTGGCTGCATCCACTTTTGAAGAGCCATCCCTTTGCTTCTTTAAAGCTAACCCTTCTCTTCAATCTTCTCAGATGCTACTGTCACCCTTATTTAATACCAAGGAACCGGAGACCTACAGAGGTTACATGATTCACTCAAAGTCTCACTGCTGTTGAGTGGCAGTCAGGTTTGTCCATCCAGCTGTCTTCCCAATTTGAGTATTACACACAATATTAAAAGACAGATGACAAACCAGCGGAAAGTATTTTAACACTGGTGTTAAATGAAGTGCAGTGTATGTAAGTATACATTGCGAGCCACTATAAACAAGAAATCAAGCACAGCAATTGGAAGATGAACACAGAAAAGGCACAAGCAGTTCAGAAAACACAGTGATACCCAAGAGGCACATGAAAAATGTTCACTTGCACTTAGCAATTAAGTAAAATTAATACAATAAGAGACCATTTTTCACCTATCAAATCAGCAAGGGTTTTATTTAACATTGGAAAGGGCTGGGGAAATGGGTATTTTCATGAACAGCTGGCAAGAGGGTATGTGGATGGCTACTCTGCAATATATATTACCATGTTTTAAAAACGCATACATCTCTTTGCCCTGGTAATTCCATTTCCAGGAATTTATCCTGAGCAAATAATCAAGGATGTGTTAGTTACAGACTTATTTATCATAGTATTATTTATAACAGTAGAAAAACTGGAAACAGAAATCATCTAAATGACCAACAGAGAACTGGCTAAACAAAATGGAGGTAACATCCTTCACCTTACAAGACTGTTGTAAAGGTTAGATTGATTAAATGAGATAATGTGTGTAAAGCACTTACGATGATGCCTGGTATAAATGCACATAATAAATAATAGCTATTACTAAAGCAAATTTACAAGAAGGAATATTACACAACTGTTAAAACAAGACTGCTGTTAGTGACATAATACAGTAAAATAAAAAGCAAGTTACAATAGAGTATAAAGACCCAATTTTTGTTTTATTACTATATACAGAACACATAAGCACTTATGCATAGTATCTATCTACATGTGTATTAAGAAACTAAAGAATTTTTTAAACTGTATGCCAAAATGTTAACATTAATGATCTCATAAGTGATAAGATTATAGGTCATTTTTATTTAGTTTTTCATTTTCATATTTTCTAATATACTTTAACAAGTATGTGCCACTCTTTTACTAAGAAGGATAAAAATTTAAGCAAATTTAGGTGGCTGTATTCTTTTAGAAGAAGTAGGAAATGTTGAACTTGCCTATTTGGTCAAAGAAAATATAAAACTTTATTCAACAAATACATTACTCAGAAAACATATACTTTGGTTGCACATTATGGACATTTAAAGGTCTGAAGAAAGAGAGAACAAAGGGAAAGTAAGAAAAGAGAAAGATCTGCAGGAGGAGACAGGAAGGAATGGGAGACAGACACACAGGGAGACATGCAGAGAGGTGAGTATGGAGGCAGAGGCTTGAATGGCTGGAGGCTCCTTTCAATCATGTGACATTTACCAGGCACCTATATGTGAATGTGACACAGCTTCTGCTTTCAAAAAACCTTATCTTCTGACTAGTATCATTGTTTCCTGCTTTATACCAAAAACCTGAATCCTAAAAGTGACTCAGAATCCAAGAGCCAGCAAATTATAAGAGGATAATTTGTTAAATACTCTGATATACCCTGCTAGCCACTTAGGCTCCAAAGTTAGCATTACCTTTTGAGGTATAATTTGTTTAATTAAACCCTTCTCATGACTCTTCATCTAACCTAATCATTAAAATCTGAGGGTGCTCTGCTTGGAATGGGAAAGAAGTCCACTAGGCAGACATTTTTCTTTGGACTTCAACAGAGAAATGGGAATTAAAGAGATCCAGCCATGGGCAGAATTTCCCCACCAAGAGTAAAGCGAAAAGAACAGCAGGCTAAGGAAGATAATCGCTTGTGGTTCTCTCTAGCTCGGCTACTCTGTACTCTAATAGAACCTGGAATCCTATGACTCGATTTTATTTAGAAACCTGAAAAATGGTTCATACTGTCCAATTTGTGTAAAGACAGGGAATCCCAGGACATCAAGTTAAGAGTGAGATACAATGATATAGCACTTGCAGGGAGAGGTATTATTTTAGCCAGTTTCCAGGAAGTTGGATAATCAAATGCTTACAAGATTCAAATCCATGCTATGAAGCATATACACCTAAAAACACAAACTGGCTAAAGTATTATTTAACCTCTTTGATGGATGTGTTCCTGAAAGGTTGTGAATTTTTGTATAGTAAATCAAATCCAATCAAACTTTAAGAATACTGACAGGGTATTCTATTTAAAGCAGCCAGGGTTCCCCATTTGTTAAAGGTCCAGAATCCTTCCCTTGGAAAAATAACATATGCACATATACAAGTTTCATACAATTTTAGGGGATCCTGTATCCCAAGTAAAAAACCCATTATCCTGAAGGGACCCACAGTTAAAAGGCATTGACAAATAATCCTTCTTTAAATATAGTTATGAAAGCCTAATTTTGTAGTATTATAAATCTGTATTTTTATGTATCAGGTTTATTTAAAGTGGAATTTGTACTTAGAATGCAAATTTGTGGTTTAGACTTTTAGATAAAGAGAGTCACAGGTGATCATCAACAAGTGCTTGAGACACATCTGTACCTTTCCCAAGAAATTCTTACCAGTGTGTGTTTTCATGTGTTCATCGAAGTACTGCTTCATGTTGAAATCCTTGCCACACCACTGGCACATGAACTGTTTGTGCCCGATGTGGATGCTCATGTGGGAGCGTAGCTGGTACTTGTATTGAAACCTTTCGTCACAGTTCTGCATTGGACACAGTGGAAATTTTTGAATGCCAAGCACAGTAGCTTTACCTGAGCCCACCCTACATAGTTTCTGAGATGAAGTTTATTTTCTCATACTCAACAGAGAACCTGTGTGTCAACTATTTGGCTCTGCTATACTTCTGCAGCTGAGTTATTAAGAAAAAGGACATTTTCTCATATAATTATCACTGAAGTACACCCAACCTTTCTGAATCACTGAGAAAAGAAAAAGTACTCATCATGTGTTATTCCCAAGTTTAAGCTAACCTAACACTTCTCTACCTAGCAGTGAGGTAATACACAATGTTCAGAGCACGTTTCTGAGGTTCTGTGGAAATGCAGCCTTGTGCCTTGTGCAATAGCACACCTCTGCCTCACTGCCTCACCGTACACACGTACAAGAGAAGCCCCTAGGCCTGGGCCGGGCAGCTAGCATTCCTTACCTCACATCTGAAGGGCTTCTCTCCAGAATGCTGCAAGGAGTGCACCTTGAGTGACATACTGCGTTTGAAGGATTTTCCACAGGTTTCACATGTAAATGGCATGTCTTTCGTGTGTGCTGCAACACAGAACGCATGTACACTCAAAGTAAGTCAACTGAAAAGCCCAGGCCGGCAGAGCTACATGACCTACTGTAAAGTGATCATGCCATCTTCATTTTTGACACTCTACATTGCAAAGCTCTAATAGCAATGTTCTGAGGAGAAAACGAAATAACAATGTTGAAAGACCTGGGTGTGGAAGACCATGCCATCTGATTTGCTGATGCCTGCTGAAGGCATGCTGCATTCGGTTTCAAACAAGTCAACGCTGATGGAAGAAAGGCAGCTCCTCACACCTGCCCAATCCCAAGCACAAAACACACCAAAGAACAGGGGAAATTACAGGTGTGAGAGAAAAGAGGCAGAAAAAACTTACCAACCATGTGTTTCCGCACATGAGCCATGGTATAGAATTTCTTCTCACAAATTTCACAGGAAAATTTCTTTTCTGCATATCCATGGACGATCTTGATATGTTCATGAAGGGACCAGAGTTTCTTGAATGATTTGTTACAGGAAACACACTGAGCAGGATAAATAGAAATAATCTTTACTTATAGGGGCTTACAGAGAGCCATACCTGCCTCTGGCAGATGAAATGGGTGTGCGTTAGATCCACGGCAGAAGGCCAGAATCCACACAAATGCTAGTCCTCCATGGAGTCAAGTTCAATACCATCACCTGCGTGTTCTATTTTTCAAGATACAGCTTTTAGAAACATGTGGAAGTATGAAAACAACAGTGAAAAGTAAGACAAAAAGAAATGCAAAAGTCCCCTAAGAGCAAAGGACCAACTGCTTTTATCAAGTTAGTATTGTACCTAGGAAAAGCTTTGTTCTTAAATAAGTGTATTACCAAGAGTGGCTGCCTCCTACAACAGGTTCACTATGCAGTTAATAGTGTTACCAGAGAATACAAAGGAATTCTAAATTAGCATAAATAAAAACAAAATAAAACATATTAATGACTACAGATCTGCAGAAGTATAAGAATGTTTTTGTATCTTAGTGAATGAATCTGGAGCCTTCATAACACAAATTATTGAGATCTTATTGTATTTTCCCAAATCTAATCTACTAAACATTTCCCTCTGGCAGAATTTAATTTAACCTCTGAACTGGTGGTATCATGCTCCCTTCTCCCTCAGAGCCCAGCTATGGATCTCTTGTACATGCACCTACGGAAACACATGCAACACTGCCTAGCTCCTTATAGTACAAATCATTACTAGCCTAGAATGTCAGGCATAAAACGTATCAAAATAAAATATTCTGGTTAAAGCAAAACAATACTAGAAAGTTTCAGGTAACCATCAGGCTCTGAGATACTTAAGGGAACAAGTCATTATTCACTGTAAATAAAGGTCTCTGAACATCACTGTCACTTCAAGAAACAAGGCCTCTGAGAAGAGTTAAAAAGATAAGCCTCCGATGGGATATGGCTCGAGAAAAGAACCGACTACTCCTATAAGTTATTTTGTGGGGCAGGATTTTAATTTTTACCTTGCCTGTTTCTAGGTTATTAGGGTTATTAGGATCTATATGTAAGAGCAAAGCAGTGTTCCGTAAGAACGTAAAGAAAGCTCACTTACTAGAATCCACAAAACCTAAATGCAAGTTTAAATATATTATGGTGAGGAATAGTGAGGAAAGCCGCAAAAAAAGTATTAAATGTTTTCTTCTCTGTAACTTGAAGAAAGCAAATTTAAGCAAAAAAAAAACTATACAGAGGTCAAGCTCAAGATCTACCTTTTGTCAATGAATCGTTACAGAACCTAAGTTTGACCCGTAGGGTGCAGCACCGCAGGACCTCCCGTTGGCCTGAACTCTTGCAAACAATTCACAACCATGAGAGGCCCTGGAAGCTCCTGGAGGGTGTGGGTGCCGTGCCTCGGTTCCCAAGCTTGTCAGAGATCAAGGCACGACTGATGAAGCAAAACGCAGTGAATGTTCCGCAAATGTGACTTAAGAAATCTCTTTTTAAATAAAGCAGTGATCTCATTTGCTGATTAAAAGCAAGAGGAAAAGTGAAAAATGAGTGCTCTACAATAGTAGCACTCCCAAAAACAAACTAGAACAATTTCACCTTTTTTAGAAGTTTAGCTTAAAAAACATACAAAATATTTCTATTTCACATATCTCAGAGACATTAACAGACTTACCTTTTATGAGTATTCATGAATATGCATTCATGTGTGCAAACCAATATAGCTCAACAGAACATAATTCACTCAACTTAATATTATCAGCATACCTCTTAACTTATCACAATATAGTCCATTCAAGACACTCAGCCCAGTTCTGTTACCTTAATAATTCTGTACGGCAGCATTATGTAACCCTACTGCCAGGTGGGCAACCAGCTCAGCCTCTGTTTAAAGTCTGCATATTCCCATGGGCTCAGCCACTTGACAAATTTAGTGTTGTCATCTCTCCATTGGTAAAAGCAAACTCACTCCTGGAGCTCTTCCATTTCCACCGGTCTGAGTCATTATGGTTTCTGTCCCCATCAGCTGCACTAGAATCTGGCATCCTTTTAAGCCTAGAAGAGGACCTCTCTCTCTCTACTCCTGCCCTTTACTCAATATCTCCCACCTTGAAAGAGAAGATGCCAGAATGAATTATATTGCATGTTTTACAACAGCAAATCTCAGTGCCAAGTTGGTGTTGACTTCACCTCCTGGTCAACACCTAGAACAGATCCCCCTTTCAAAGTACCTGGGTTCCCACTAGTCCAGCATCAGTTAAATTTAATGCTTTTGAAAAAAACTGTTAAGCCTGAGTTTTGAAAAGACCAAAGTGGGAGCTTTTAAAAAGATAAATTGGTGAAAACTGTCCCTTCAGCTTCTACTGCATTTATTTTCTTGGGCAGATACCAGGTGAGTCTGAATAGCCAGGTTCTATCCTGGAAAGGTTGCCCTCTTGGTGAGAAAACCTACCTGAATATTTTTTTCACAGTCTGTTTGCTGGTGAAGGGACAGCTCACTTTCCAGCACAAACTTCTTGCCACACTTATCACAAATCTGCATGCGCCTATGAGTAACGTTCATGTGCTTCTCCAGGTACCAGCGAGTATTAAACACCCTGGGGCACTTTTCACAGGTCAGAGTCTCTTTCTCTTCACACTTAGCTTTCTGGACTGCTGCTCTGGGCTCCTTTGTGGCCCGCTTCTTACGCTTAGGTGGCTCTACACTCTTCCTACGGCCTCTCGTAGTCCTGGGCGCAGGGGAAGTGGTGGCCGCTGCAACAGAGGCGGCTCGCCTCGTCCTCCTTTGCGTGACGCTGACCTTCTCCACTATCTTCTCCTTCTTCTTCTGCCTTTCGTTCTCTCCATAGTCATTGCTGTCATCTGTGGCCTCTTCCCCACTCTCATCCTCTTCCTCCTCGCTGCTTGTCTTAAGAACAGGAGTCTCTTTGGACTGAGAAGAGACACCCTTTTCCCCTTTAGATACATTTAATGTTTGATTATTAAGGTTTACCTCCACTATGATCTGCTCCCTTTTGTAAGAGTCTTCCTCCTCCTCGTCCTCCTCTTCTGTGTCATCAGAGTTCTCCCGGTCTTCTTTAACGGCATGCACGTCAGACACTGCTCTTGTCTCCCTGAAATACGGCTGTTCCTCGGTTTCGTGGAGATGCGGTTTGCTCATCTTGGTGTCCACTAACACAGAATAAGGACTTCCTGATTCCCTTTTATACACTTTGGTGGACAGGTCAAGTTCTTGGTTGGCACCATGATAAAAGGTAGATGGCACTTGACCACGACGGCTATCTTCTTGTGCCATCCCTGCTACATGCACAGTGCAGTTTTCAACCAGCCCTTGACAAGAACTGGCTGTGTGGCTCATTGGTGAGTGGCCCAATTTACTAAGCAGTTCAGACTATAGAGAAGTAGCTTTAAAGAGGGTAATTACTAAGACTCAAATCTTTTTCCATTCAGAAAGCATCACTCAAATGAAAAAAGGTATTCCTGGAATCTGTGTGTAATTCGTCGTGTTGCAGCACCGAAGCAGAAGTCAAAAGGTTTGGTATTATGGCAAGAGCAGAGCACTAGTGATTTTGCTTTGAAGAGAACTGCAAGTGACATGGAGCATCTTATCTACAAAAAAAAAGCAAAGAGGAAAAAAGATCAGATACCACTATTTTCTTCTTAGACCATGCACTTACGTCATATGACAAACACTGATTAAACTCTGTATACATACAACTGTTTGTCCTGCTTAAATGGTCCAGTATGGGCCATTACTTTTCTGGGTTACATTAGTTAAACAAACATTTTGTTAGAATGTAAATTCTAAGATAGCAGGAGTCATTGTTTGTCCAGTTCACCAATATATCCTTAGGGCTTAGTGCTTAGTAGGTGTTCAGTCAGTATATATTTGATAGCTAAATGAATATCTATTATAGCATAGCATTTATTACCTTAGATGCTATAGGATATACTGATAGGGTAGAATATACAATCTCTGTCCACTGGGAGTTTACATCTCATTTATGTGTTGCATGTGAAACATGCAAGAGCGTTATCCCGGCTGGCCGTCTAACATCAGTCACCACCATTTCCCACAGTGAGAGCTGGTAAGACAAAGGTGGTAGCGGGCTAGGCACTGTGGACCAGGAAAACAAAGCAGCTAATCGATATCACTAGAGAAGAGAGAGAAAATGTCCCTGGTCATAGCTACCTAAATCCACTCAACAACTGGGTAATTCTTCATGTGTCAGTTGCACAGATGCCTAAATTCTAAGAAACAGTAACCATCACGTTGATATGGTTCCAAGAAAAATAAAACCATCCATTAAAAAAAAAAAAGGAGAGATTAGAAGGGCACACAACTTGCTTTGTGACACAGCTTACACTGCTGCTGAGCCAACCACCTAACCTCTGGGTCACATGGATATTACTGCAAGCATACACCCAGTCTGACTGACCAAAGTTAGGAAACTAGTGTTTATTGAATACCTGTTGCATGTATAAGCACTGTGAAGGTGCTTATTATTTCTATTCAATACCCACCACAAAACTTTGGGGTTGATTTTTAAACATTTTTAGTTTTTAATCAAAGTAATCACTAAAAAAAAATAATGAGCACACAGTTTTACAAGTAAATACTGCAGGGTTTATAACAAAAAGCATTAGTCCTCTGCCTACCCCATCCTGACATTTGAGTCTGTACCCCTGAGACAAAAATGTTCAACCATTTTAGCTGTCTCCCCACCTCCCCTCCATATTTACTTCCATATTTCTAAATAATATGATTATATTTCTATTTCTTGACTGTCCCCCAGTTGTGGATATTATCACTTGTCTCCCACTATAGTTTTCTTACCCTATTGCCCCCAACTCTCCCTTCATCCTCCCAATACAGATGTATCACAACTTTTTGTTAAATCATTATATACTGCTTATTATGACTATAACATGTAGCTCCTAACTATTTCTCTCAATACTCTGAGATTATCTTTTCTTCCATTTTCTTTGTCTGTATGGACTTGTTCTTTCAAAAAATGATTTCACTTTCATTTCAGTGGAATTTCCGAGAGGAGTGGTGATAAATGCCACCGTGTCTTACTTGACATCTGAAGAGATATACTACATTTTGTATTTATAAATGAGGAAATTATGTCTGTGAGAGGTTAAATAATCTAAGATCACATATGTATCACAGAAGCAGTGTTTGACCCCAAGCTGGTCTGACTCCAAAGCTCATGACCTTTCTATTTCTACTATAACAAATGACACTCCAAAATAATTTAGATTCAATTATTCCTATAACCACACATCTTTTGGCATCAGTTTTAAATTATTTTATTTTGCATCATATTTTAAATAGGAAAATCCTAGTGGCTTTATTTTGCATGTGCCAAAACTTTGGACCCACAGAAATAATGTAAACTACAACAAGTACCATACAATAAACTTTTATTAATTATCTCAAATTAAGCAAGGGAGAAGAGACAGTAGATTTCAATTAACTACCAATAGCTAAAAATAAAACAAAAATCAGGAAGATAAAGAAAAATAAATTGAAGGGAAGTCCTCTGTGGTAGTCAGAAATATCTTCTTCCCAAACAACTCTGGCCTCATGGCCTTCTGGGCACATGGTAGGATTGCACTTTCTAATGCTGCCCCCCCGCCCCCCGTGACTACCAGTGCATCGTGAGCAGAAGGGACACAAAGAATGCCAGGGCATTTTCTAACCAACATGAGCCTCTCTCCTCCTCATCCCTCTGCCACGGAGAAGAGTGATTTTCATAGGGATGACCACTATTACTGCTATCAACCTGGGTCCCGGAGGGACTAAAATGCCCTACAGGAAACAGTGCAGTGGATTCTTTAAAAATATGTATTTTTTGTTTATTTTATGTAGAGTGTGCTTTAAAGCCACTGAGATCTGGAGTTGTTTTTAATACGCTGGCATAATCTGGCCTATCCTAGCCGACACAGGTGGAAACCAGAAGCAGGGCGCTGCCTCATCCAAACACCTAAAACACACAGCTGAGGCTTAGGGGCTGGGGGTGGGGAGGAGGCAAGGCAGCAGCCACCCGAGGCTAAGAGGACAGCACTCCTATCATACAGCACAGAAACTACTGGTGAACTGTCCCCTAATATCTCAGAATATCTGAGATAATTAGAATATCTGCCACAAGAAACTCAGAGTTCCAGTGGGAAACCGGATTCTTAGGAGACTGTGTGGTTACTGTTGGCTGTATTTGACAAATTATTACATGAAAAGGATGAATTTAGGAAAGAATAGATCGGTTTACAATCAAGAATAAAAAGGAGTCCAGAAAGTCAGTGATTTGTAAGGTTACAAGAAGCAAAAGCTTAACACAAAACAGGTTTTTAACTACAAACACTGATGAGAATTTGGTCTTGAGGCAAGAATCAAGTCAGCTTTGGCTTTCCTAACCACTGATAAAGCCTCCCAATTGATTAAGGTAGTGACCAATAAAAATAGCTTTTCTAAAAAAGGCTGAAGATGACTTCTCTCACCAAAGTAATCTCTTAAGTCTGTTTTGCTACAAGGCATATTTCTCTAAGGTGAGTCACTTCAAATGTTATTAGTAAATAAGGAAATGTTAGTAAAATACAGAAGTCATGTTGGTTTATATGGGATTTTTCTTTGCAAGTCAATGTTTGAAGTGATCAGGACAAAGCTTTCTCAGAACTGAAAAGCAAGTCTTAGCAATACATGAAGACCTTAAGAAAAAAAAAGCTAAAATTCACTCCTATACCTTCCTTTAATGCAAGAAGTGGCTGGTTCGGCTGCTTCATGAACTGCTACTTTCTTCACCTTTACCTGGTAAAGTTGAGGGTACATGTTTCTTCTCCTGTGTTTAAAAAAGAAAGTTTTTGATTGCTGAACCCTATACACACATCAAATTCTTAATTGAAATGAAACTGATCTCTGTTGTAAGCAAATGTCTTCAAGACTCCAATCTCAAAGGAGGAAACGACCACCCAGGGGATTAAGTCTGTTAAATTTCAACTGACTGACGCTGGGTACATATACCAGGAGAGATTAAATGTTCCTATTTTTATTATAATTACTCTTGTTTTTATTAGTGCACTAGATACAGTATTCCACAGATTGAGTGGTCTGCTGCACTCCAATTTTTCCCATAAGCCCTGTTTATTTTAATGTTCAATTTTGCAGAACTCAGGAAAGCACATATGGTATTTGCTAGGTTGTCTTTTCCTACATATATACAATAATAGTATTATATACAACAGTAATAGCAATATAACTCCATTTGGGTTCCCAGACCCGATAAGAATGTGTGTAAGTGTGTGAGAGGGGATCTTCCCACACATAACACCAAGCAATTCTCAAACACCAGCAGGGTGTCTGAGAACTCAATTCTGATGCTGTCTGCCTGGGAGACAGTGCTCCATCTTACAAGACTGCCCTCCACCCCCACTCCAGACGCTGGCTGGTCACAAGCCTCAGGCAGTTAACCTGTGCTTCTAACCTAGCGGCTGCAGAGTGGAGGTTCCCACGACCTACCCCTTAGGTCTGATTAATTTGCTACAGCGGCTCACAGAACTCAGGAAAACATCTACCTGTACCAGTTTAATAAAGGATTCCATAAAGGATACAAGTTAACAGCCAGATGACGAGATACATAGGGCAAGGTTCCAAATAAAGGCACTTCTCTCCTGTGGGGCTTGGGGCCTGGCTCAGAGGCACGTGGGAGCCTTAGAAGTTCTCTCCAGCAGAGAAGCAGGATCAAGAGAGCAGAGAGCAGTATGCTCTTCCCAGGGGCTTTTGTGAGGGCTTCATTGCATAGTCATGATTGACTAAATTATTAGCCATTGGCTGATTCAGCCTCGCCCCTGCCATTGGATGGGGATCCAAAAGTCTCTCATTAACATGACAAGACACCCATTTCACCTTTAAGACTGCAGTGCTTTCAGGAACTGTGCATGAAGACCAAGTATACCTGGAAAATATATATTTGGTCATATATGAATGGCCAAATATGTATTTCTTATGACTCATTATATCACAGTACTGTAACAGAAATACTGTACTCAAATTAAGTCAAGGAAGAAATAGGGGACCAATAAGGCAGAGCTGTGTTGCAAATCTAAGAAGCATGGCTAGAAAAGAACTGTGGATGTGGCTGAATAAATAAATAAATGCCAATTAACTTTTGAGCATTATATTGCCAGAAGAACTACCAGATGGGGTTACAGAGACAGTGACTGTTCAGCACTTAGAGTGGTCTTTGGTTCTCAAGTGTCTATGGTAGGAAGTGGGCTGTGAAAGCTATAATCCTTTAATAAAAGGATTCTGTAAAGGATACAAGTTAACAGCCAGATGATGGGATACATAGGGCAAGGTCCCAAATAAAGGTACTTCTCTCCTTCTGGGGCTTGGGTCCTGGTTCAGCAGGGACATATTTCTGTCCCCTCCCAGGGGGACATATTTCTCATTGTCCATTTTGGATACAGCCAAGGAAGAAGAGGATGAGGAAGATGATCCAAGAGGATGAAGCTAGGGAGCAAAGAAAACAGACACAGGAGCTATTCCTAAGGAGCTAAGTCAGGGTCTGCTCAGGAACATTCCCACTCCTGGAGGGCGCCCTCTCTATGACTGCTCAGAGGGATTTCAGAATTTGCTGGAGCCGAGTGACTGCTACACATCTCCTATCATTCCCCCTTTCAAATGGGACTGTTCATTTTTATTATTCTGTCCCTTGTTCCAATTGTACATTGTATGTGACAGCAGAGATCACTAGTCAATTTCTTTCATAGGTCTCTGGTTCAACTAGAGCAACATCTGAACCCAATGTAGAGACTACAATGCTTCATCTCATGGATAGACCACCAATCAGTATACCCACGCATCACTCAGAGATCCTGGACTTTGAGCTGATGCCATGATTGGTTCGGACCCTGGGGTCCCCTCCCCTGGGGAGGAAGTGTGTTTTGCCTGAGAGAACAGTAGAGTGAATATCTGATGACCAAAAGGATGGTGCTGTTTATCAAGTAATTTCCACTCTCTGTCCCCCTGGCACAGGCAGTGGTGTGCTTCCTGGTCCCCACAGTCACATGGGGCTACCTGACTAGTTCTGGCCATCATGCTGTAAAATAAGCAACATGAATCACTTCTGAGCTACCATATTTAGGACCTCTTTTCTGTCTTAACACGGCAGCTAGTAGTGTACAAGAAGATGGCTGTTCCACCAGCCTGGATCACTGAGTGGTCTGAGCAGAGTGCTCCTACTGACTTATTATGGCCACATAGTGAGAAAAGAATCCTTCATTGTTTTAGACGTGTGTGTGTGTGACACTGTAGCAGAGCTCAGCTAATGTAGTCCTTTATGAATATGTATATGTAAACATATTACATATATCCACTGTCTCAGTCTTAAACTAGACAGCAGAGACAGCCAACTGAGTAAGTGAAAAGTTAAAAAATCAGAAAGCAAAGGGCTGAATTCATAGGGGAATTCTCTAAATAAATTACAAAATAAGACTATTATTGTTTTGGAAAAATTAGAATTAAGGTGCTTCATTTTATGTTAAATTATGTATACATATATATATTCCTGTACTAACCTGAAAGTGACATCGCATCACTATTAAAATCAGGGAAACTCACAGAAACATCAATAAATCACACTGTCACAATAGAAGATGCAGTATAATTGTTCACCTTGAAACATACAATGGCTTTCTGCCCACATTTTACTGTCTTCATCTGATTCTGGTAACTTTTCCCTTGTCTGAATTTTGGTGATAATCTTCCTTTATTCTCTTTCAAAAACACTGAAAATGCCTTCTAAGGGCATAACAGAATAACCTTTACAAAACCAAAAACACATTAAATTAAACCTTCCATATTCCATTATCCAACTCTTAATGTGTATCCTCAGCTCTAATTCACTTATTACAAATTATCTTAACTTAGTTTTTTAGGAGATTCTCTAGGTAAATACACTGAGCTCTAAGAACCTGAAAGTAGACAGAAGCAGCAAATAAAAAATAAACCTGATATTCAAAGCTGTTTAAATTAATCTATGATATTAGATTAACACAAGTTCATCTGTTCTGAGAGATCAGTTTCTACTGTTTCTTAAATGCAAATAGAATGGGTTGTCCCTTAGTGTCTTACTATAACTAATATGCACAACTTAGGAAAGACTATGGTGTGTATGTTAGGGGGTGTACAAATTGAGAAGCAACCAGTCCTGGTACTCTAAAACTTTGCTCAGATACTGGGAAGAAAATACAATTTTAAAAAAATATTAGCAGATATGGCGGAATATTATAGACAGTAAAGCACAGCTTCCAGAATGTGCTTTTTTCAACACTATTATTTCCAAAGTGGACTACAAAATAAGTTTATGCAGACTTCAAGAATGTTTAGTTAAATGGAAAACAATTAATTTTGTTCCCTGAAAAGTTTTAAAAGTTAATTTTTGACAAATTCAACAGGGTTTTTTTTCTATTAAAATATATACCTTCATGCCCTCCTTGTACATTAAAAAGGTTCCACTTAGGATGAGCCTTTTCAAGTTGAAAGAGCAACTTTGTAAGGCATATTAATCTGCTGCCTCTGCTTACTCCACTTCCTTCCGAACCACTTTTACTAACCTGTTTCCAAAGCTCAAACTACCCAAGCATGGCCAGACCCCTGTCCTGCTGAGTGAAGAGGATTCTAAAGCATGAACTGCCTACAGGGATCAGGCCACAACTAAAACTACCAAGAAGTGGGAAGGAACAAGGAGGAAAAGATCAACGTATTGGCAAAGTTCTTCTGAAACAACGACCCACTGGGAAGAATGGACAGGATGACCTTTGGGTCTGTGAATAATACTGGTCCTGATACTCTACCCAAAGCTTTGCAGCTTTGCAGGTCACTCACTTCTTTCTCATTAGAAAGTATGTCAGTGACACATTTGCCAAAACACAAGCTCAAAGCCTTCGGATGACCAGATAATTACTTAACAACTACTATATGCTTAATATAAGTTAAAAAATTATCTAACTGTTATATGCTTAATATGAAAAGTTTAGAAAAAAGAGGAAGTCACAATCTAGCTGGGGAAATCGGGAAAAGTTTGGTGAAAGATAGTACACTCAGAAAAGCCTGAAGGGCAAGCAGTGTTAGACTGGCAGAAATGAAGGCAGAAAGTCATTTACAGTGAAGGAGAATCAGAATGGGGTAATAGTGGGGTATATTCCTGAACAAGAAACAGCTTAAATTGTGACATTTTGTTAGAATATAGGGTTTGTTGAAGGGAGGGACGGCAAGACAGGTGAATTACTGCCATGCTGTGGCCAACCTTGAAGGCTGGGCTGAAGAGTTTGTAGTTATGGATGGCAAGACAGAGCATTAAAGGTTTTTAAAGGAAGAGCTAGTATGATTTGAGTTGTGTTTAGGGGTCCAATTATATGACAGCAAATAATTATAGGCCTATATTTAAGTATAGCTTTGAAACATACATATAATAAAACAAATATACAATCAAACAAGGTTGAATAAACTTAAAATAAGTAAAGAAACTGAAGTAGAAAAAAACAGAAGCAGTAAATAACATTAGGAATTATTTTTAAAACAAAAGCATAACCATTTTAGACTAAATCCTGTATTGGTACTGACAAAAATAAAATTTTAAGTATCTGAATTATAATTTTTAAAACTTTTTTAAAGAATGTGTTCCTTATGAAATATTTACTAATTTCCCTGACTAGTAGTTGAGTTTAAAATTCATGCCCACAACTAAAAGTTTTATTTTCCTAATACAGTAGGTTATACTTGCCTGAAATGAGGGGAATCTCACCATGTCCTATCTCTTCCTTAGAGATAATCTCTAAGAGTGAGAAACCTTTTAGCATATTTATAGAATGCTCTGGAGGACTGAACCACCTAGGGTGCTAAAGTGCTGTGCAATTTTAACAAGTGTAGTAAGAATCATTTACTCCCTGGGAGCTGCTTCTTACAACAAGCTGTATTAATAAGGGAAAGAAAGGGTGCCCAATTATGATTGGCACACATAATGTAGGTGGGGGGGAGGGGGGCACGGGGAAGGCAGTATAGCACAGAGGAGACAAGCAGTGATCCTATAGCATCTTACTACAATGATGGACAGAAAAAAAAAGGTATGGGTGCCCAAACAGGCTCCATGATGGAACTAATGACTAGGGCTCATTTTTTTTCATCATTAATCTACAATTACATGAGCAACATTATGGTTACTAGACTCCCCCATCACCAAGTCTCCCCAACATACCCCATTACAGTCACTGTCCATCAGTGTAGTAAGATGCTATAGAATCACTACTTGTCTTCTCTGTGTTGTGCAACCCTCCCTGTGCCCCCCTCTANCCTTATCCCTCCCTGCCCACCCATCCTCCCCAGTTCCTTTCCCTTTGGTACCTGTTAGTCCATTTTTGGGTTCTGTAATTCTGCTGCTGTTTTGTTCCTTCAGTTTTTCCTTTGTTCCTATACTCCTCAGATGAGTGAAATCATTTGGTATTTCTCTTTCTCCGCTTGGCTTATTTCACTGAGCATAATACTCTCCAGCTCCATCCATGTTGCTGCAAATGGTTGGATTTTTCCACTTCTTATGGCTGAGTAGTATTCCATTGTGTATATGTACCACATCTTCTTTATCCATTCATCTACCGATGGACATTTAGGTTGCTTCCAATTCTTGGCTATTGTAAATAGTGCTGCGATAAACATAGGAGTGCATCTGTCTTTCTCAAACTTGATTGCTGCGTTCTTAGGGTAAATTCCTAGGAGTGGAATTCCTGGGTCAAATGGTAAGTCTGTTTTGAGCATTTTGATGAACCTCCATACTGCTTTCCACAATGGTTGAACTAATTTACATTCCCACCAGCAGTGTAGGAGGGTTCCCCTTTCTGCACAACCTCACCAACATTTGTCGTTGTTTGTCTTTTGGATGTTGGCCATCCTAACTGGTGTGAGGTGATATCTCATTGTGGTTTTAATTTGCATTTCTCTGATGACTAGCGATGTGGAGCATCTTTTCATGTGTCTGTTGGCCACCTGAACTTCTTTGGAGAACTGTCTGTTCAGTTCCTCTGCCAATTTTTAAATTGGATTATTTGCTTTTTGTTTGTTGAAGTGCGTGAGCTCTTTATATATTTTGGATGTCAACCCTTTATCAGATCTGTCATTTATGGATATATTCTCCCATACTGTAGGATGCCTTTTTGTTTTATTGGTGGTGTCCTTTGTTGAACAGAAGCTTTTCAGCTTGATATAGTCACACTTGTTTGTTTTTGCTTTTGTTTCCCTTGCCCAGGGAAATAAATTCATGAAGAAGTTGCTTATGTTTATGTCCAAGAGATTTTTGCCTATGTTTTTTTCTAAGAGTTTATGGTTTCATGACTTACCTTCAGGTCTTTGATTCATTTCGAGTTTACTTTTGTGTATGGGGTTAGACAATGATCCAGTTTCATTCTCTTACATGTAGCTGTCCAGTTTTGCCAACACCAGCTGTTGAAGAGGCTGTCATTTCCCCATTGTACATACATGACTCCTTTATCGTATATTAATTGACCATATACGTTTGGGTTAATATCTGGACTCTATTCTGTTCCACTGGTCTGTGGCTCTGTTCTTGTGCCAGTACCAAATTGTCTTGATTACTGTGGCTTTGTAGTAGAGCTTGAAGTTGGGAAGTGAGATGCCCCCTGCTTTATTCTTCCTTCTCAGGATTGCTTTGGCTATTTGGGGTCTTTGGTGGTTCCATATGAATTTTAGAACTATTTGTTCCAGTTTGTTGAAGAATGCTGTCAGTATTTTGATAGGGATTACATTGAACCTGTAGATTGCTTTAGGCAGGATGGCCATTTTGACAATATTAATTCTTCCTACCCAAGAGCATGGGATGAGTTTCCATTTGTTAGTGTCCTCTTTAATTTCTCTTAAGAGTGTCTTGTCTTGTAGTTTTCTGGGTATAGGTCTTTCACTTTCTTGGTTAGGTTTATTCTAGGTATTTTATTCTTTTTGATGCAATTGTGAATGGAATTGTTTTCCTGATTTCTCTTTCTTTTAGTTCATCGTTAGTGTAAAGGAATACAACAGATTTCTGTGTATTAATTTTGTATCCTGCAACTTTGCTGAATTCAGATATTAGTTCTAGTAGTTTTGGAGTGAATTCTTTAGGGTTTTTTATGTACCGTATCATGTCATCTGCAAATACTGACAGTTTGACTTCTTCTTTACCAGTCCGGATGCCTTGTATTTCTTTGTGTTGTCTGATTGCTGTGGCTAGGACCTCCAGTACTATGTTGAATAACAGTGGGAGAGTGGGCATCCCTGTCTTGTTCCCGATCTTAGGGGACAACCTTTCAGCTTCTCGCTGTTTAGTATTATGTTGGCTGTGGGTTTGTCATATATGGCCTTTATTATGTTGAGGTACTTGTAGGGCTCATTTTTAACCTAAGTTTTGGTACTATCAGATTCTTAAATTTTACTAATCTGTACCTCAGTCTGCCAACCTGGAAAGTGTGAGCCAAGAAAACAAACTGCAAAATTGAGAGGCTTGATAAACTCTACTCTCTGATCTACAAAATGCATATGATAGTGGTGACAATAATTTGCATGTATATAATACTCTATTGTTTACATAGAGCACATTTACCATACATTTGTTAAACACTTATTAAGTGCCTACTGTGTGTTAGGCAGTAGGAGCTGGAGCTATCAGGTGTTCTGAGTTCTACCTGGGGAGGCTGACATGAAAAACAGAAATCACAATACAGTGTAATGAGGTCAACTGCGAACAACAGCACAACACAGTGGTTAAGGACACAAACTCTGAGGCCAGACTGAGCAGTAGAAATCTGGCTCTGACATACTAGCTGGGTGTCCTTGGGCAAATTATTTAACCTTCTCTCTAAGCCTCATTTTCTGCATCTGTAAAATGGATATAATAATAGTATCCATCTGGAAGGATTGTTACTGGGACCAAATGAGTTAATATGTATAAATGCTTACAAGAATACTTAGCAACAGTAAGCGTTATCGTTAAGTGTTTTCTGAATAAACACTCACCTACACATACAACGTACAGAGGCTGTGCAGGAAAGGTGACTGACGGGTGTAAACGTGATGAATATGTCAGGGGAAGTTTCAGTGATGAGATAAAGCTGGAGCTGGGCTGGAAGGACAAGCAGAAGTCAGAGATGGGAGAAGGGAGGTAGGCAGGTTGCATGTAAGAAACACTATATGAAACCACATAGGTTTTTGTTTATCTTATTTAAGCCTCACTGCCCTGCAATGACTTTTTCACAGCTGAGGCTCACTGAGGAATTTATTACTTCCCCATTGTCACTGCTGGTAAGTGATGGAGCAAGGGCAAGAATTCAAGTTTTCTAACCCTTAGTCCCAGTTTACCCAATATCTCCTATTAAGCTCAATGGAAAACAATAATTACCTTTAAAAAAATACACTTAGTCCTCAAACAAGAAAATACCTATCTGACACCAAGTAAAGTAAAATTCTAGACTAGTATTCAAGGGTCTAAGTTTTATCCTTAGCTAGTAGAATTGACACCTCCCTTCAGAAGCCCTGAATGTGAGATTAATTCACATGTATACATTTCAGTTTTTAATTTGATCCACATACAGTTTGTGCTGCACAGTAACCACATCTGACAAACCAAAAATTAAAAATTTAAATTATATTTAGTTCATTGTCTTGCAACAACATTGTTATCAATGGATGAAACAAATCTGTGGCCTTTAAACTTTGTGTGCAAAGTGGATGTTACGGATACAAAATTTACAGTTAAAAAGGCTCTGTATTACAGGCTCAACAGCATACTTATAAATGTCCCTCATTTCCAAAGATGCTCATAAAGTCCACCTGGGGTGCTCTAGAAGTCAACTCTACAACAAACGAAACCTCAACATAAGTCACTGGGGCCTTATTTTAGCTGAGCATTATAAAGTGTTCTCAGATGCCTGTATTTTATATAGCTGAAAAATATATAACTTTAATGCAATGTCATCTAATAAAATTTATTAAAAATTATTTTTAAGCAGTCCATTTAATCTCTTGCCTGTAAAAAATAAAACAGAATTGCCTGTCACCTTGTTTTAGTCAAAGCTTTCAAAAAATAAGATTTCACTGTAGTTTTTTACACATGCATTTAAATGAGACTGCCATTGTGTTTCCTCAATAATATGCAAGTGAAGCTCTAAGAGGACAAAGGAAAGGTGCTCCTAGGTACCATGTAATTACCTTCAAACATCAACAGTCTCCACATTTATAGACAATAAAAACTAATGTGCATTACACACCACACAGTCAGCTAAGCAAACTTAACTTTCACCAATCACCCCCTTGGGCCAAAGAAGAAATCAAACTCTAAGGAGGCTACACCTCAGGACCTGGATAATCATAATATATATTCAAAACATCTTTCCATTATTCAACTCAATTCACAAACATCATCTACAGACAGGAGAATACAATTTAAACAAGGGAGTTATTTTTAAAAGAAGTGGAAGAGTTTTACATTACTGTTATCTTTTCTGTTAAAATCTGACAAAGGCTGGCTTTGCAAATGCTCAAGTAAGATTCAGTGCACTGAAAAACAACCAGAATATACCCACATTATACATAATCTTGGAAGGTCTCAGTCTAGCCTTGACTAAAGTTGTTTTATGGAATACAATTATTTAATGCACTAATCCATTTTTTAAATGGCTATCTGTGTATCTTAATCATTATTAACTGATAGCCTGCCTATTAGCTTTACTAAGGAAAATCAGAGACTTAAAAGGCCCTGTGAATCCTCCTTTTCATAACACCTTGGGTTAGAACTAAGATATATTTAGCAGGTACAGATGTTCACACTGTGGCTACCTATAATGTAACCCATTCATGAAAGGCCTGTATGTATGTAATTTGACTAGATCATCATGAACTTGAATTAAAAACGCATTTAGAAAATGAAAATAATTGAGAAAGGCCCTTATTACATTATTGTATTTTACAAAAATGTGTGAATAACATAAGGAAATGTTGGAATTTAATTTACATATTTGACCTACCAAAAGACAAAGGACTGTTAGGTTTTCTCATTGACAAAAAAAATTTGACACTTCAAAAATTAACACTTGGAAAAAAATTTAACTGTACTAGTCTTAAAACAACTGATATAAATAGTCTAAAACAAAAATATTTAAAACCACATGGGAAGGTTTAACCCAAACTGTAACATACCCAAAACATGGCCAATGGAAAAAGACAAATTGATAACATACTGCCTGCCTTTCCCTTCCCATGTCTTTACATTATTCTCCTTAGCAGCAATTCTTAAACTGGGGAGAATCTTTGGAAAATCACAAATCTTCTCTCCCAGAAAAATGAACATGCAAAAGTTTACATGACTTGTAAGAACTTGTTTGTTATGCTTCAGAAGATTGGAGACTATTAAGATACAGGCTTGGGGTTGATTAATGACTGTGCATTGAGTTCCCTATACAGAATTTTATTGTTGTTAACAACCATTTGATCAATAAATATGAGAGACGCCCTCTCAAGAAAAAAAAAAAAAGTTTACATGACATTTCAAGGAGTTTGCCCATTTCCAGAAACACACCCAGGGATCTCCTAGGGGTCCAAAAACTCCAGGCTAAGACCCCTGTCATAGAGCAGATTTTACTTTTCCTTCTTTGTAGTGTGCGTGAAGATCAGATTTATACATTAATTTTTTCTCCTCTTCCTACCTTCTCTCAATCCCTCCAGCATTTCTATGGTCATAAGTGAATTAACAGCGGAATAAAGGAAGAGTGATGAGAAACATCATGAAATGCAGAACAAAAGATCTTAGTATGAACCCCAATATGCTACTGAACCAGTTGTATGGCCTTGGACGAGCCAATCTTGCACAATCTTGCACAATCTCAGTGTGTTCCCCCACGAAACTAGAGAGAGCACACACACCTATGTCATCTGATAACACAGTTCCCTGCAGGGGAACTGGTGCTTTCACAGGGGGCTCTCAGCGCTGGTTCCCTTCTCCTTTCTATTTGAGAAAATCTTTCTTAAAGCAGCTATAAATTATGGGCGACAAAGCAAAACTTTATATAATTTTAAAGTTTGTTGCACATCCTTTCCCATAGGGAACATGAGGTGATGGAGAGGGAAGGAAAAGATTGGGTGGGAAAGTAAGCTTAAAAAATGAAACAGGCTATAAGCGACCAAAGAAAGAAGATAAATTGAACTTCATCAAAATTTAAGACTTTTGTACATCAAAGGACACTATCAAGAAAGTAAAGAGAACCCACAGAATGTAAAAAGTATTTGCAAATCATAAATCTGATAAGGGTCTAGTATCCAGAATATATAAAGAGCTCCTACTACTCAACAATAGAAAGACAAATAACCCAATTTTAAAATGGGCAAAGCATTTGAACAGATGTTTCTCCAAAGAAAATATACAAATGGCCAATATTTACAGACAAAGATGCTCAATAGTGTTAGTCATTAGAGAAATGCAAATCAAAACACAATAGGATACCACTTCACACCTACTAGGATGGCTATAATCCAAAATTGGAAAATACCAAGTGTCAATCAGGACTTGGAGAAATTGGAAGACTCATAAGTTACTGGTAGAAAAAATAACTGGTACAGTCACTTTGGAAAACAGTCCAATAGTTCCTCAAAAATTTAAACATAGAGTTACCATATGACCCAGCAATTCTACTCTTAAATACATGCTCAAGAGAACTGAAAATATATGTTCATACAAAAACTTGGGCATAAATGTTCCTAGCAGCATTACTCATAATAGCCCAAAAGTGGAAATGATCCAACTATACACTAACTAATGAGTGCATAAATAAAATGTATATCCACACAACGTAATATTATCAGTCAAAAAAAAAAAGTAGTACTGATACATGGCACAAGATGGATGAATTCTGAAAACATGACACAAAGTGAAAAAAACAACACTAAAGGCTACACATTGTATGATCCCATTTATACGAAATTGTCAGAATAAGCAAATCCACGGAGACAGAGAGTAATCAGCGACTGACAGGAGGAGGGAGGGACTGCTAATAGGTTCCCTGACAGCTGCACAAACTTGTGAATATACTAAAATCCACTGAATTGTATACTTTAAAATGGTGAATTACATGGCAGATGAATTTATCTCAATAAAAAAATAAATAAAATGAAATAAGGCTATCTGGACATTAATAGTCCAAAGGTGGTCTGAAACACTAGGATTATCTGAAACTTCTATTTTATATAAAAATGACATTACTGAATCACTGGATAGATAGGTCATTAACTACACACTGGGCTCTTAACAGCAGTGATGCAGTGAGACTGGGTAGAAAATGAAAACACCCACAGTGCTGGGAAAAAGAGGACCTGGGTGGGCTCTATCTGGGGCTCTTCCCTGCCTCTGGGCTGGTTACTTTACCTTTTGAGCCCTCAGTTTTCTCAACTTAAACTGAAGGGATTCTCTTCCACCACTAGCATTTGCTGACTGTTTCCATTCTCTCATGTGATTCATCTGGTCACCGATTTCCAGGCAATTCTCAACCTTTTTTTTCAACACTGAGACTTATCACATGCTTCCCTCTCCATATCCCCAGCCCCCTGCCATGTTTTCATGGAGGATTTTTTTTTTTAATAGTTGTATCTAAAACTGTACTGAGATCATGCTTCTTTCTTTTTTTTATAAACCAAATATATAAAACAACCTATTATAACTTTTGGTTAGACTGTCCAACTTTACCATAATTTCCATTTGACTTTTGAACACTAAAATTACCTTATGAATCTCAGGTTGGGAATGCGTGGGTTAAGGGAATATACGGTTGACCCTTGAACAACACAGGTTTGAACTTCACTTCAAGATAAGAGGTCCTTAGATGTAGATTTTTCCAATAAATATATTGGAAAATTTTTTGGAGATTGGTAACAATTTGAAAAAAACATTTGCTTTTCTGTATCTTACTTTATTGTAACAATACAGTACACATACATATAACATACAAGATTTGTGTTAGTTAACTGTTTATGTTATCAGGCTATTAGTAGTATTACATTTTTGGGGAATCAAAAGTTATACATAGATTTTTGACTGTGCAGGGGTCAGTGCCCTTAATCCCCACATGTTCAAGGGTC